AGCTGGGAAAACAGCACTGGACCAAACAGTATAAATACTGCATTCATGGATCTTACCTTCTAGTGAGAGAAAGACAGATAGTTAACAAGTGAATGAGGAAAACAGGCGAGTTGACAACTGGGGATAAATGCTGTGCAGGAAAGTGAAGTGGAGGAGGAGGGAGATGAGGTGGGTGGGGGATGAGCAGATATAACTAGGGAGCTTAGAGGTGGCCTCATTGGGAAGGTGGCATTTGAGCAAAGACTTGAATGAGCTGAGGGAGTCAGCCAAGTGGATCCATGGAGAGAAATATTGCAGGCAGCAAACAGGAAAGGACCAGAGAGAGGAACACGCCTGCCATGTGCTAGAAACACTGGGAGGCCAGTGGGGCTAGAATGTAGTGAGCGGGGAGAACAGCAGGAGGAGGTGGGGCCAAGTGGTAACGGGGGCGGGACTTATACAGGGATTTGGGGTTTTACTGAGAGTAAAGGACAAACCCTTGGTGGATTCTGATCATCAGAGTGACATGGTCTGAAGTGTATTTTTAAACAATTCCTCTTGCTTCTGTGTGTGAGGCTACTGCAACAGTCCTGGGGAGCAGCAGTGGTGAAGGCCGAAGAAGTGACAGAGCCTAGAGTATTCGCTGCCTGGTAGAATGTGACAGAAGCAGAGAAGTCGGAGGACTTCAAGGTTTTGGTCTGAGAAACTGGACAGATGAAGATCACTGACGGGGACAAGAAAGAGAGTGGGAGGAGCAGGTAAGGAAGGAAAATTAGGAGTTTGGTTTTGGACATGCCCCCAGACATCCAAATGGAGATGCTGAGTGGGCGTTGAGAGCTGAGTTCAGGGCAGAGATCTAAGCTGCAGACACAAATTTGAGAAACCTCAGCATATGGATGATATTTAAAGCCATGAGCCCCCAGGGGATCATGAAAGGGGTGAGCGTGGATACAGAGATGAAGTCTAGGACTGAACATGGGATTTCTGAATGTTTTTGAGGTCGTGGACAGGAAGAGGAACCAGCAAAGGAGATAAAGAGCAGCTAGGGAAGGTGGAAGGAAGTTGGAAGGAGGGGCCGGTATCCTGGAAGCCAGGACAACAGCGTTTCACGGAAGAGGGTGGGACCAGCCAGGCCAAACCCTACTGATAAGAGGACTGAGAAGCACCATTCGATTAACACTGTGGGGGTCACTGGTACTTTGACAAGAGGGCAGGGACTGAAACTTTGCTAACTGCCATACCTAGCAGGCCCTGCATAAACACTTATTGACTGTTATCGGTGAACAGCCGATTTCAACAGCCTTCCGAATGGCCCTGTTCTGGTCTTCCCTCCTTCAATCCAAGGACGCTGCCACAAAGGGATCTTTCTAAAACACAGATAGGATCACTCTCCACTTATATCTTAAATGCAAATCACGCTGGGATGAATATGTGGAAAGTTGTGTACTTTGTGGTACTCTTTGTAATAGGAGAATATTGGAAATAACATGAGACTTCAACAACAGGAAATTGGTTATGGCAGCCAGGATGCATCTAAACAGAATACTATGCAGCCATTAAAAGAGTGCTCTGGAATATTTAGCGACTGGGTACAGAACAGTATACACAGTGAGAGCTTATTTTTGTATTAGACAGCACAAGAGTCTATAAAGCAGGGGTTGACAAACATTTCCTGTAAGGGCCAGACAGTAAATATTTTAGGATTTGAGAGCCACATCTCAGGCACGATTATTGTTTTAATGTGAAACCTTTGCTCAACTAACACACTTCCATCCAGGTCTGCCCTGAGTAACCTATTCAAAACTGCAATCTATCTACCCATCTCCTTTACTTTGCTCATTGTTTTTGGTTTCCCATAACACTTATCACTCTTTAATAGACTAAATCATTTACTTTTTAATATACTTGTTTATTATCTATACCCTTCTTTTTCTTCCCAACCCTCAAGAACGTAAGCTCCAGGAGGGCAGGGTTCTGTGTTCACTGATGTATTCCAGGCTCCTACAACAGTGCTAGGCACACGGTAGGGGATCACTAAACATTTGCTGAATATATGAATGAATGTCATATTACTTTTAAAATTAGAAACCCAATATACAAAACAAAAAACCCAGACATCTCCCATGAGTCCCCATCCCTAAGGAAGGAAGTCCACAAACTTGGCCAGGCATTGAAGTCCCCTCACGGTCCCGCCCACCTCTCCAGCCTCCCAAACCCCCCCAGACCCGCCCCCCGCCCCGGACGCGCAGTTCACCCCCGGCGACACCTCTCACCGCCACTAGGAGGCGCCCGTGCTCGACAGCCTGCAAAGCGCAAACACCAGTCGCACGTGACCTGCGCCGCATCCACGTGACCGGCGTCGCACTCGGTGGGCGTCACGTGACGGACTCAGCTTTCCTCCAATCGCTGTGCAGGTTGTGGGGATTCCACCCAGAACCAGGCCCGAGACTTAAAACACCCCATACTCCCGGCGCCCAGGCGGGCTGGTTCCTTGCTTCCAGCTGGGCGGCGGTGTCTCCCTGGGGGCCTCTTCCAAAACGGCTTCGTGAGGCCGAGGCCTACAGCGCGCTCAGTCCCGGAAGTGACGTCTCCCAGAGGGGCCGGAAGTGGCAGTGGAGGGAGGGAAGATGGCGGAGGTGGTGAGTCCGGTGCCCGGGGCGGGGCGGAGGGAGCCAGGGGAGGTGGGTAGAGCCCGAGGCCCCCCAGTAGCCGACCCTGGCGCCGCGCTGTCTCCCCAGGGGGAGATAATCGAAGGCTGCCGCCTGCCCGTGCTGCGGCGGAACCAGGACAACGAAGATGAGTGGCGTGAGTGACGTCGGGGGGGCGGGGCTAAGGAACCTAAGGGCGAGGGGCGGGAGAGAGTCAACCGAACCCTCGGGAGGGGGTGGGGCCTCTAGAATCCTGGGCGGGCGGGACGCAGATACTCAGCAGGGGCGTGGCTTTTAGCTCCGAGACGGACAGGGCGGGGCTTGGAGAGAGGGCGGCACTTGGTGACTAACGGGGGCTTGGGCGAGAGCTTCCAAGTGCTGGGGCTTAGGGATTCGGCCGGGGGTGGAGTTTAGGTCGTGGGAGGGTGGAGCCTCATGGCCAGGCCTATCTAAGGCCCCCGTCTGTGCTGTTCCCACAGCCCTGGCCGAGATCCTGAGCGTGAAGGACATCAGTGGCCGGAAGCTTTTCTACGTCCATTACATTGACTGTGAGTTCTGGGCTGCGGTGAGGTGGGGCTGCAGGGCAGGGTTGGGGGACAGCCTCTGGCATTCCCTCCTGAGCCATCCCCCCTGCTGCAGTCAATAAACGCCTGGATGAATGGGTGACCCACGAGCGGCTGGACCTAAAGAAGATCCAGTTCCCCAAGAAGGAGGCCAAGACCCCCACCAAGAACGGACTTCCTGGGTCCCGCCCCGGCTCTCCAGAGAGAGAGGTGGTGAGTAGGTCCCCTGCTTCACGTCTTCTCTCCTGCCTCCTACTTTTCTCATCTCTAGGCCTCAGTGGCTCCTGGATGGGCAGGAGGCAGTGCCCTCCCACCCTGGCTTCAGCTCACAAAGGATGGGGGCCAAATTGCAGATGTAGCTTTCAGAGTCCAGTGGCTATTCCTGTGTCCTTGAGAGGGCAGAGGGTGGGGTTTAATCACTCTATGCTGAGGGGCCCCTACTCCCTTTCCCATCCCACCACCAAGCCCACCCCAGAGGAAGACCCTGGACCTATCTCTACAGCCGGCCTCCGCCCAGGCCAGCGGGAAGACCTTGCCAATCCCGGTCCAGATCACACTCCGCTTCAACCTGCCCAAGGAGCGGGAGGCCATTCCCGGTGGCGAGCCCGACCAGCCGCTCTCCTCCAGCTCCTGCCTGCAGCCCAACCACCGCTCAACGGTACCCTCAGCAATTCCAGGGACCTTGCTTTCCTCTCAGGTCCCACCTTCTCTACCTTCTGACCCACCTTTCTTGGTTTCTCTCTACAGAAACGGAAGGTGGAGGTGGTTTCACCGGCAACTCCCGTGCCCAGCGAGACAGCCCCGACCTCAGTTTTCCCCCAGGTGAGTCCCCTAAACCATCTCTTCTTCCCTTCCTTCCTTCTACCTCCTGGCGGCCCCTCTGAGGCTCATCTCACAGCCCCCCTTCTGTTCCTTCCATCTTACTTGCAGAATGGATCAGCCCGTAGGGCAGTGGCAGCTCAGCCTGGACGGAAGCGCAAATCGAATTGTTTGGGCACTGATGAGGTGGGTCTGGGGATGGGGGAGGCTGGGTGAAAAGCAGGGGACACCGGCAGGGTGGAGCATTTAGTGACTGGTTTGAAAATAAAGAAGGAGGGGTGGGCAGCTGTGGTGTTGGTGGGATTAGGAACCAGGCAGAGCTCATTCAGATGAGATCTTTTCCAAGTTTTGAATGAAAACTTCCCAAGTCTTGGTTTCTTTATCTGGAAAGGGGATGATAGTACCTAGGGTTGCTGTTAGACCTGCATAAGGAAACCTCGGGAAGGGGTGTGTAGGCGGTAGTGTCCTGCTTCTGTAATCTGGTATCTTCCACTGGCCCTGGGCAGGACTCCCAGGACAGCTCAGATGGAATACCGTCGGCTCCACGCATGACTGGGAGCCTGGTGTCCGACCGGAGCCACGACGACATCGTCACCCGGATGAAGAACATCGAGTGCATCGAGCTGGGCCGGCACCGCCTCAAGCCGTGGTACTTCTCCCCGTACCCGCAGGAGCTCACCACGCTGCCCGTCCTCTACCTCTGCGAGTTCTGCCTCAAGTACGGCCGGAGCCTCAAGTGTCTGCAGCGCCACTTGGTACGAGGGGTCCCAGGGGGCTGCCCTCCTAGCACTCCCCTCCTTGCCCCCACCCCTGATCCTCCTCTCTTTCTCAGACGAAGTGTGACCTGCGACATCCTCCAGGCAACGAGATTTACCGCAAGGGCACCATATCCTTCTTTGAGATCGATGGACGTAAGAACAAGGTAGGTGGCTGAGGGGCACTGGGGGAAATAAATGAGCAGCTTCTTCCTGCCCAGGAACACACTAACCAGTCTGGCCAACACTCCCATCTTTACTGAGTTCCTGCTGTAGGGCACGTGCTGGGAGGTACAAAGACAACCAGGGATTCGACAGAATCTCTCCTCTCTGGGAGCTCACAGTCCGTGGGGAAAACAGACGTGCCAACAGCCACTTAGATCCCATTCTGACAAGTGTCATGAAACACAGGGTGGGTTATCAGGACCCAGGGGAGGTGGTCAGCAAAGCTTCCCAGAGGAGGTGACCTTAGAGCCTTGACATGGAGGGTGAGGTGGGTAAGGGAATCCTGCAGGGCAGGCTTGGGGGCACAGAGACCGAGTGTGAGAAAGGCGAGGAGCTTCTGGCTGAAGGGCAGAGAGAACGAGGCCAGGCTGTTATAAGGGACAGAGCACAGGTGGAGGGAATGAGATCAGTCAGGGCGGGGTAGAGGACACTCCCAGGTTTGGGGCTTCAAAACTGCTTCAGTCTGTGGCTGTGGGGAGGGAGGAGGGAGTAACCTGGAGGGACCGTTGAAAGTGACTCCCCCACTCCGGGGGCAGGAGGAGGGGAGGGAGAGGCAGGCACCGTGACTGGTGGGGAGAGCTCTGGCTCGGGTGCTGGGGGAGCATGAGAGGAAGATGCTGCTGTAACGACTGTTCTGTATTCCTCACTGTGGACTTGGGCATCCAAATGACAGTGCCCAGCAGGTGGCAAAAAGCCAGGTCTGAATGCAGGAGAAAGCACGGAAAAATAAAGGAGCAAGATTAGTAACTTTGCTGAGGAATCCCTCAGGCTATTGTTGGTTCAATTTCAGAGTTCCTTACCTCTGTCGTGGAATGGATCAGTTCCCAGGAGGTGTGACCGTAGGCGGGAGAGTTATGTTTTTTGACAGCCAGACTCCTAAGACTGTCACACAGGCAGAGCTTCCCTCCCAAGCTTTGGTCAGTCTTTCTTCCTGGGAATATGTCCGTTTGTTGACTGTTAACTATAACAGTGGAGGGCCCCAGGCCAGACTGTGGGGGTCCAGGGAGCGGGGGGAAGCCTGCCCAGCTCACCGGGGAGGCAGGCTGTCAAACAGCTGGTTCACAGGCTCTTCGACACTGAGAAGTGGCCCTGCCTGAGCAGCAGGGACAGCCTGGCTGATGGACTAGGTTGGGCCCCAGGGAGGAGCGCTCATCACCTGTCAGCTATGGGGTACAGGGAAGCTCCTGGCTGACGCTGGCCCCTCGGCCACCCTCAAGGTGGGTACTCAGAGTGGTGACAGGCCTTTTCCTCTGCAGAGTTACTCGCAGAACCTGTGTCTCCTGGCAAAGTGTTTCCTCGACCACAAGACGTTGTACTATGACACAGACCCCTTCCTCTTCTACGTCATGACGGAGTACGACTGCAAGGGCTTCCACATCGTGGGTTACTTCTCCAAGGTCAGTGCTGGGCTAGCTGCCCGCAGCCCTGCCTTGCGCCACGTCCCTTCCCTCACACTCACCGCCCCTCTTTCCCAGGAGAAGGAGTCGACGGAAGACTACAACGTGGCCTGCATCCTGACCCTGCCTCCCTACCAGCGCCGGGGCTACGGCAAGCTGCTGATAGAGTTCAGTAAGTACCTGTGCTCCTGGCCAGGGGCTGCGGGGGTGCTCCCACCACAGCCTCACGCACACGAGCAGGGCTGCCATGATCCTCAGCTCTGGCTGTGTGGCCCAGCCACAGGGAAGCTGGCCAGAAATAGAGATGGGACTCTCCCGAGGCTCTCTCCGTCCGCAGGCTGGCTGCCCTGCTCATCTGGGCTAGGTTCTCAGCCCCTCACTGTGCCTCGGCCAAGCTTCTAAGCACCACCCAACTTTTCCCCAATCTGACTCATCTGCTCCTGCCCAGGGCCGTGGGCAGAAGCCGAGTGAGCCACTGTTGCTCATCCGTCTGGTACTGTGTCATCATACAAACTCCTGGGCAAGGACCAGTGGTTCAGGCCCGCAGGTATCCCTGAGCCTTGCAGATAGATGTTCAAAATGCTGTCAGCTCAGCAGACAATGTAAGCAGTGACTTGCATGAACTTGGCCCCTGTTCCTTGCATTCAGTCAGGTCAGTCTCTTAAAGCCCAGAAGGAACTCTGCTCCTTGTCATTCATGAACTTGTCAGTGTCACCCCAAGCACCCTCTGCTTCCAGGCCTCTTCCCCCGTCCCATTCAACTCACCACTCACTGAACCCTCGAGGTCATCAGGCTCTGACCTGGGAGACGGGGAGGGAGCCTTAGCTGTCTGTCTGGGGAAGACACGGAGGCTTGACTCGATCAAGGTCACGGTCCATGTGAGAAATTTTGTTGGTAGAATGATACCAAGATGGGATCATATCGTCAGGAAACTCTCAGCCTGGTGGAGCAGGCAGGTGCTTAAACTCAGCTCAAGCCTTGCAGCTCAGACCTCAGTGGAGACAGGCCATGGGCGGGGCCACCAAGGAGGCGTGCTCAGTTGGGCGGACAGTTCACAGGGTGAGCGGGTGTTCACTGGGGAGGGGACAGGAGTTCCCTACCACGGAGGAGGCAAGTGTGGCCTCCAGTTGATCTGTCAGGATTCCACATACACTGGACCCAGCAAAGCTGAGTCGGACCCCAGGTGTCCGACTGGCTTCCTCCTCTGTGCTTCCTTTCTCTAAAGCACTAGCCTCTGTTCCTCTCCCACTGGGCTGCTTGGTGGAAGTCACAGGAAGTTGGGCAAGAGGGTAAGACTGGCTGATAGAGATGTATCAAGGCGGGGAAAACAAAGGGCGATGGTCCAACATGAGGCTGGTTATGACTGAGGGTGCGAAGGGCTTCTGGAAGTAGTGGCGACATCGCAGAGCCTGACAGGGAGAATGAAGACTCTACCCAAAGACACCAGGCCACTCAGGGTTTTGCAGGGCCTGAGGGTCTCACCAGCAACTGGCCGCCAGTGCCCAGGAGTCAGCCGGTGGAGGAGGGCAGAGCAGAGTGGGAGGGGTGGAGCCACGGGAGGTCCGTTACCTGCTGAAGAAGGGCCTGCCTCTGACTGGTGCTCCTCTCCTGGCATCCTCACAGCCACCGGGTCAGGCCAGCCTGGTCTTCGAGCCGCTAGTGCTCCTTAGGTCAAGCTCAGTGGACTTTCATGTGAGAAGCCAAGCACCCTCAGGCCTGGACCAGAGGTGGCGTCTGCCCCACTTCTCTCCTCACGTGCCCAGGCGCAGAGTGTGCGGGATGACAGGAAAATCCGAGGCACTTTCTTTCCATAAACCATTTTCTCTGCACTCCCCTACCCTATTCATAAGCCTTCACTGGCTCCTGAGCACCCCTCCCAGCTGATTGCAGCTACTCTTTGCAGTGCCCTTAGCACCCTCCACTGTGCTCAGCACCCAGGTGAAGAGTGAATGCTCATCAGTCCTTTAGGAGGAAACTGAGGCACGGTTCCCAGGATGGGAGCCAGGCAGTCTGTCTCTGCAAGCTGTGCTCTTGAACGTTGGTTGCATGAAGCTGTGACCGCTTCCCCACCCACTCCTGCTCCATTGTTTTAGGCTATGAACTCTCCAAAGTGGAAGGGAAAACGGGGACCCCTGAGAAGCCCCTCTCAGATCTTGGCCTCCTATCCTACCGAAGCTACTGGTCCCAGACCATCCTGGAGATCCTGATGGGGCTGAAGTCGGAGAGTGGGGAGAGGCCGCAGATCACCATCAAGTGAGCCTGGCCCCACGTACCGGGGGGTGCATGCCCTGTCTCTTCCGGGGCTTTCTCACCCCTGGGGTTCCCGGGGGCCTGGGGCAGAGGTGAAGGCCCCCATGGGACCTGATCTTTGCTTTCCCACAGCGAGATCAGTGAAATCACCAGCATCAAGAAGGAGGATGTCATCTCCACTCTACAGTACCTCAACCTTATCAACTACTACAAGGTAGGGAGGCGGGTAGGGGGAGACAGGTGTGTGTAGGGGTGCACGCTGCAGGCCCCATGTGGGCTGACCTGCCTGGCCCCGTCTCCCGTCCAGGGCCAGTACATTCTCACACTGTCGGAGGACATCGTGGATGGGCATGAACGGGCTATGCTCAAGCGGCTCCTTCGGATCGACTCCAAGTGTCTCCACTTCACTCCCAAGGACTGGAGCAAGAGGGGGAAGTGGTGACGGGGCACTGCCTGTGGCCGTGTCAACAAAGTCAGCAGAAGCAGGGCTGACAGCTGATCCCGCCCCCACTGGGGCCCGCAAGAGGCACACCAAGGGAGACGGGGCTGAGGACAGCTCCACGAGGAGAGGACAGGCCTGGTAGGAGCCAGCTGGTACCCAGCACCAAGGCGAGCTCAGGGTTCAGGTCAACTTCAAGGTCAGCTCGCTGAAGGCCCAGGCCTGCTGTGAACCAGGGACGTGAGAGAGCCTGGCAGCTATGTACAGTGAGATGGGGGGTGGGAGCGCTCTGTACAGAGGACTGGTGGCTGTAAAAATTTCTTTTGTAAAGTAGGAGTTGGGAGTGGGGTGGGTACTGGCTGCTAAAATTCTGGCCCCTCTCTTGCCCCCCCGGCAATAAATTGTTTCTGTAGGCCAGAGCCATGGAAGGTTCTTGCGGGAGTCAGGGCATGGCTGGCTTAGGGGCTCACTGTGCCCGAAAACTCACAGGTGCCGTGAAGAGTGTTTATTGAAGTGATGGGATCAGTGGGTTCAAAGTGAAGAGCTGGTTTATTGGGGTGAAGGGGTCAGCGGCTTTCAATTTCAAGCTCTGGTTCTCAGTCTTCAGGCACCTGTGCGTGAATCTGCAACAGGAGTCACCTCTGCTGTTGGATTCTGAGAGAGTGGCTGAGTGGCCCGCGTACTCGGGGAGGGCCCCAACTGGTCAGGAGGATAGCCCCTTCTAGACAGGCCAGAGAAGAGTGGTGGGGAAGCTACCCTGCCCTTACCCAGTCTGAGGCTCCAGCAGACGGGACTCCATCTGCCCCCTGTGCTGCCCAGCCCCAAAGCCCCATATCCGCTCAGGAGCAAGGTTCTAGACAACCCGGGAAATAACCTTGAAGTCAGAGAGGGGGAATGGATGGGGCTTGGCAGGAAGAGGACCCATCCGTGTACTCACCGCTGCGGCCAGGCTGGGCCAGGTTAGGGCCCCGCGCACTTTGGCATCTGGGCCAGGGATGGTCTCCAGGCCCCACAGGGTGAAGCGGCTGAAACTGGCAGTGGCTCCGATAAAGCAGTCCTGGGGAAGGGACTCGGCTCAGCACGGGGCCGCGCGCTCGCCCGCACCCCCTTCCAACCCTGTCCCCCTTTGCTCACGAAGTCCCGCTCCAGCGCCTCCGGGGATTCCACCAGCTCTTGCTCCCCTTGCTCTTCGTTATTCTCCGAACCCTCCGAGAAGTCATGCTTCTCTTCCATCACCATCACGTATCCCACGAGGCCGGGTGGCACCGACACTTCCTCGCCCCGTAGTTTGCGGCCGCGAAACGACACTTCGAGTCCTGGAGGAGGCAGGCGGAGGGCCTCACTGAGGGCCTGATACAGGCCTTGCGGGGCAAGCCCGGTGGCGGCCTCCCCGCCACCTCCGGTGGACTACGATCCCCAGGAGCCCTCGCGCCGGTCCTCGCCAAGAAGAGCGCGGTGCCGGCGCGGGGACTGCCGGGAGCCGTAGTCCGGCCACGAGCGCTCACCACCGAGACCCTGGCGGATGGCCGGGGTGAAGAAGCGCCCCACGGGGGCGGGCTGGTTAACCGGGACCTCGCAGGGCAGAAGGTGCAGCGTGACGGGGGCGGCGTCGCGGAGCGTGGCGGTGCGTAAGTGGATGCGGTGTTTGTGGACGGCTACCTCGTCGCTGCTCTCCATCCTCCGCCGCGGTTTGATCGCTCACTAGCTAAGGCCAAAGCTGGCGCGGAAAGCGCGCGGAGCTTGTCGGGAGGTCAGGGGCAGTCAGCGCAGAGCCTCCGGGGAAGCGTAGTCCGTCCCTGAAGATCCTTTGCAAGCCCCGCCTCTCTGTGTTCAAGTCCCCAGTTTTTTTCCTTGAAAAATTTTCAGATGCGCATTCTTCCTGTAAAAAAAATTTAAAACGATTCCGAGTATACTTTTTATATAGATTTGTAGGGAGTTAGTTCTTTCTCAAATTGTTGAGGATATTTTATCTGAGTTTGTGATTTGTCTTCCAAACCCGTGTATAGGTGATTTTTATCACGCAAGACACTTATTTTTCGTAGTCAAACTTATCAACCGTTTCGTTTGATATCTCTTAGTTTTCTCAATGCTCTCTTTTTTGGTTTAACTCTTCCCTATTGTTTATTTGTTCAGGTACCTAACATATGTGTTGTCAAGTTCTCTCATAAAACATACAAAACTGGTGATTAAGATTAAATTTGCACTTAATTTAGATTTGAGAAAGAGAAAAACATCCCCAACATCCAGGAGCTGGCCTTGGTGCTCTGTTGAACATGAACAATTTCAAAGATTATTGACTTCAGACGAAATCCTTCTGTGACATGAGGGATCGGGACAAAAACAAGGTCCCCTGAAATGACGTGAACACTGACAAAGACACGAACATTGTCCAAACCACAGGAAAGAGGAAACATCCCTCTATCTTGGATAATATGACTCTGGCTTCTTTATGAATTACAGCTTTAGCCTCCGTCTAGTTAGGATTTAACATATCCCATCATAGAAATACTCCCACTTCCTGACAGCCTCCCGGAAAAGCCACACTTCCTTAAACCTCCCCAAATCACCTAACACAAGCCCAAATCCTATAAATCCTTCCTAACACCCGCTTACTGAGATGCCCCACAGCGCAAGAGTAATACACCCGTTTGTTCAGCCATAGATGTGTTCGGTGCTCCTTGCCTGGAGGGTATTGACAGTTTAGAGAGTCTTGCTTTAGTTTTCTATCAAGAATAAAATACGTAGTACTGTTTATTCATGTCTCCTTTTATGTCTCTCTGTACACTTGTGAGGTTTTCTTCATTTATAATAGTTAAAGTTTATTTTTATATTTTAAAGTTTATTCCTGATGGCTTATATTTGTTTCAATTACAAATTAGATCTTTTCTTTCATTTTATTTTCTGATTTTTATTTATAGCAGAGGTTCGCAAAGCTCACATATAGTCTCTGTCACAATTCCTCAACTTTGTCGTTGTATCGTGAAAACAACCATGGAGGGGTGGGCCGTGGCCGAGCGGTTAAGTTTGCGCCCTCTGCTTCAGCGCCTGGGGATCCTGAGTGCGGACCTGCACACCGCTCATCAGGCCATGCTGTGGCAGTGTCCACGTAGAAGAACTAGAATGATCTACAACTAGGATATACAACTAGGTACTAGGGCTTTGGGGTGAAAAAAAACAAACCACAGACAATATGTAAGTGAATAAACATGCCTGTGTTCCAATAAAACTTTATTTGCAAAAACAGGCAGCGGGCTGGATTGGCCTGCCCACAAACAGGCCATAGTTTTTGGGAAAGCTGTTGATTCTTACATACTAATTTTTTAACCAGATATCTGCTGAATTCTTTTGTTATTCCTAATAGTTTTCATTTTATTTTCTTGGTCCTCCCAGAATTAGTCATCTCACTTCCGAATAATGATAATTTTGCCTCTTCATTACATTGTGTAATTTGTTTTGTTTTCTAGCACTTTCAGAACAATCTCAAGTCTTCCTAGTATCCACGGACGTCCTTTCCTGCTTTCTGAAACGTTCATGAGGATGCTTTTGCTGTTTCCCCGATAATCAGGAAGCTGCCTTTCAATTTGTTACTTGTCTCTCCTTAAAACTGTACTTCGAAGGGGTTTTTAACTCAGGAGTAGATGTGGGATTTTATTTTTATATATTTGATTGTGTAAGTTTCTCGTAGCCTAGATTTTAGTGATTGCATTCCTATAGTGTGTTCATCTGCCCTACACTTCCTGTGAACTAGTAATTAGATCTGGAAGCTTCATCAGATTCTTTTGGTGGTGGGGGGCGGGGGGCAAGACTTCTTCAAGGGGAGCGGTGTGTCTTTCCATCAGGAGGGACGTAATACCTCCTGTCTGTCCTTTTTGTGAGGTTAGCAGCCATAGGTGATCGGGGTCTGGATCCTTTAATTCATCAGGGGTGATAAAACTGATGTCGTTAAGTCCACCGTTTTGTCCTCATTTACCAGCTGGGCTACGTCTGGAAGGAAGACGCCCCCTCATTAACTGTTTGGTTGCCCATTGGTATAGTGAGTATGAGAAAGGCAAAATAATTGCTTGAAGTTTCCTTTTATGTCCCAGTTTTTAAAATAAGTTGTTTCCTGAGCGTGCTCCAGTGGTAACCTTTCAAGAAAAGTATCATTATTAAATAATGAATTTTTAACATTTTGATATGTTTCAGTTAATTGTGCTTATTCTTCTTCTTAATGCTCAAATTGTCCCATATTATGGGGCACTATTGCCCCTTTTGCCACTGGCAGCCTCTTCCAGTTAGCTCCCGAGTCTTTTGATGTGACCCTAGTAGTCTCTTAGAGGTTGACTTGTTTTCTGGAACCACAGGATGTCCCTGGCTCATCTACTGCGGTTCCTGCTCCAGACGTGGAATCCTCTGTTTCTCTCTGGTGCCTTTTGCTAGGAAATGATATTTGCTACTCCAGCCTGACATCAGACTTGCTCATTGCTACTCAGTTGGCTATTGTTTCTAGGTGTTTTCAGTGGACGAAGCCAGGAAGTATGTACTTCACTCTTTTAAAGAGAAAATACATCATGAGTTCATACTGTTACTTCTAGGACTACAGCGTTTTTTCTGACCTCATTGCTCTTACATTTGTATCTTTTTTCTCCATACTACATACACAACAATCTCAGAAGAAAAATGACAACGCTGCAACCAAGGATGTGATGATCACAGTTTAAGAATTTCTCTTGTCGTTCTTTTTTACCTTCAGGTATATTCCACTAGGGATGTGCAATCCCATTGCTGTTCTTCAAAGTCGCTTGAAATCGTTCTCCCTGTGGTTAGGCCACCACCTGGATACATGGTTAGGATCAGTCGTTTCCTTTTGCTTTTAACATTTTGAGATAGCTTTTAAAAAATTTACTTTTGCTTTGTAAGTATGTGATTATTTACATGTTTCCAGATCTTCTGTTCATGGTTCCGACTCCTAGTGACCCTGTGTACAGCAGAGGGAACCCAGCCTGGTCTTTTGGCGCCATCCTCGCTCGCACCTTCAGGCGCTGTATCAGACGCGGCTCCGCTGCCATTCCCTGGGTTTTCATGGCCAATTTTTTGGAAGTGGGTAGTCGGGTCCTTTTTCCTAGTCTGTCTTGGTCTGGAAGCTCCGCTGAAACCTGTCCACCATGGGTGACCCTGCTAGTATTTGAAATACTGGTGGCACAGCTTTCAGCATCACAGCAACACGCAGCCACCACAGTATGACAGCTGACGTCGTGTGGTTCCCTGACCGGGAAACGAACCTGAGTGGAGGCGATGAGAGCAGCTGAATCTTAACCACCAGACCACCAAAGGCCAAACCTACAAAGATATTTTTAGAGAAATATATCTCTCTCCCCCGTCCCCTTCAACTCTTCTCTCCTGCCCTCTCTAGGTAACCTTTTAAAATATTTTAGTTTATCTTTCCATTGTTTACTCTTTTAAAATATTAGCAGAAATTTATGAATATTGAATCCAACTTCCTAATATTTTGTTGAGGATGTTTGTGCCTATGTTCGTGAGAGACACTGGTCTGTAGTTTTCCTTTTCTGTGATGTCTTTGGCTGGTTTTGGTGTCAGGGTGATGCTGGTCACATGGAATGAGTTACGAAGTGTTCCCTCTGCTTCTATTTTCTGAAAGAGAATGTAGAGAATTGTTGTTCTTTCTTAGATGTTTTTTTCCGCCACCAGGGGAACCATCTGGGCCTGCTTTCTTTTTTGCAAGGTTATTAATTATTTTTTGTTGTTCATTTTAAAAGAGACTTTTATTTCTTTTGGCTTTACTGAGGCATATTGACAAAGCTGTCAGATATTCAGTGGACATCATGATGATTTGATCCATGTAGACGTCGTGAGAGGGGTCCACCCGTCCAGTTCATTGACACAGCCATCGCCTCACAGATTTATTATTAGACTATATATTAATAATATGTAATATTAATGATCATATGCTATATAATTAGTAACTATTCCATCTCTTTAATAGATACAGGTCTATTCAGATTATCTATTTTTCCTTGTGTAAGTTTTGGTACTTTGTGTCATTCAAGGAATTGGTCCATTTCATTTAAATTATCAGACTGTGGGCACAGAGTTGTTCATAATATTTCTTTTTTTTTTTTTTTTAAAGATTGACACCTAGGCTAACAACTGTTGCCAATCTTTTTTTTTTCTGCTTTATTTCCC